TAGGGATTTTAAAGAAAAAGTATGAATTCAATTAACTGAATACATTTTATTCATGGACTAACTTCTTCCCACGGTTTCGTTTGCGCTCTATTAAAATATAGGTGGTAGGTTTAAAAAAAGATAAAAAAGAAATGGTGCACGATTATTTGCTGATCACAAATATGATAACAATTTTTAGCTTTCTAACTTGAAAATTACGAAATGTTCCATACAAAGGAAGTGGGCTATAAAAAGACAAAAAGTAGCCTGTTACTCCCAATTCCCATGCGATTTGTTATACAGTATTCGAATTAAACTAGGAAAAGATTAAATTAAAAAATCAAGTCATTATCAATCGCCAAAAGTTATTAGATATTATACATGGACGACGTCGCGGGGAACGAGAATGGCTAGTAATGTAGATTTTTTTTGACAACTATAGGGTAAGAGATCCTTTATGGAGTAATATGAAGAATATTTGTATATATTATATATTACTTACTGCATAAACAGTCCTTTGAACACTAAATTTGTTCCTGTACCCACTAAAGTGCCAATGCCACCTGTAAAGATAAAATGATTATTGAAAATGATTATTAATGATTAATCAAAACAGCTTGTGTAGTACACTGCGCACTAATATAAAAAAATATACATAAAGAAACACTTTCTTGAAAATGTTCAGATTGTAGGGCATTCCCTACAATCTGAACATTTCGCATCATTATGCGAAAGGCATGTTATAGGCAAACCGAGGGTAATTTGATGTGCGATGGATCGGAATTTAAGATCATTTTGTTGAGTATTTTCTGATAGGTCAACCTAAAAACTGTGACGTATTTAGAACTAGCTATTTGGGGCAATAGTAAATTATGACAGTTAAAATGAGTAGCAGAGAGCTCAAGACGAGAGTGAGTGCTGTAGTGAAACCTCTTCGATTTACGTAAATATCATAATGAACCATTCGTTTCGTAATAAATTGAAGTCTCATATACAGTTCCGACAAATATAATAATGGCTTACCAACAGTTGCTGAGAAAGTAGCTGCACAAAAATAGCAACAAGTCGTATCACTTGCGACCAGGTCGCCGTCAGAGGTCTTGTCGAAAACTTTTATTACTTTTTGCTGTAAACAAGCAACGCATCTTTTATTAAGGCACCATGTTTTGTAGAGTATCTCCTATTATAGAGTTATAGAATAACTCCTCGCTAGGTAAGACAGAGTGTTACGCCCGCAGACCCGAGCTCACGGTAGCCGGAGATCGTCTCACGTTCACCGACGCTTCGTGTTTCTCGTGCAGCCGGTGGCTAGAATGTGATGAGGTCACTACCCACACAAACTTCGTCGCCTTAGCTAACATAACTGCTTATCGGGAGGAGACAGCTTCCCTTCCGCAAAGTCCCTTCACACTGCGCACATGATATGTTACAAATCAATTTCCTGATTGCTTTTACAAAATTTTAGACGGACAAGACTATAGACTGAAAACTAATTAATAGTATACGTAATATACTCACTTCTTCAAATACTCTCAATAGGGCAAAATTGATAGGAACCATCATAGTTGTAGCTGCAGTATTGGTAATCCACATAGAAGCAAATGTTGTGACACAACACATAGCCAAAAGTAATCTACGTGGAAATAAATACATAAAATAAAATATTTGTCGTTTCTTTAGTAGAAAAAAAAATACAAATAGTAGTATTAATATTAAAATACTGGCCAAGGGTGAGTTGGATTCGATTCGATTCGTCTAACTACTCAATGGTTAATGGAATACAGCCTGGTGGCAAACGGACAGTAACATGGTTCATATTTTATCCCTTGAGTATGGAACCCTATAATGAAAATATTGCTTACAAACGAATTAAAAGGAGATAACATAACATTAGGCCTTTTATCCCCGAAGGGGTAGACAGAGGTGCACATTATGCCGATGTACAATGAAACACCCACTATTTATGTTATGAGTCCCATGTAATAGGGGGTAAGCCTAGTGTCATACACCGGCCATAATTCCAGACTCCGTGCTACTACTGAGATTTTTTTTAAAACCCAGTAATACTTTGCCCGACCCGGGAATCGAACCCAAGACTCCTTGGCCGACAGTCGCGCTTGCGACCACTCGGCCAATGAGGCAGGCATAACTAAAAAGAAATTACAAAAAAACTTACTTTAGATGTGAGTAACCTATAAGTTGTATGGAGAAGTAAGCCAGTCGTTTATGAAAGCCTGATTGTTCAACAGAATAGGCTAAAACCAAGCTTCCTATAAACATCATCACAGAGTCCTATAAAGAAAATACCAATACCATTAATACCATCAATACTCTGCCTTCTGTTCTATTATCTTGGTCTAGAACATCTCTAAAATCCCTGGGTCAAAATCATAAAGTGAAAAGTAAGCAGCATTACGGCAGAGTCGAATTTTGTCAATGCAGCAGTTTCTGGCAAACTTGAACCGTTTATATTGTGATTTCTAAATCTCCTAGCCAAGAATAGAAATTATAGGAAACTCGCTTATGCGGCTCATTGTCTAGCTGTGGACAATCATGATCAGTTTATTTCAAGTAAGATTTAAATTTGAATGAACGCTTGAATAAACTTTAAGCTTTAAAGTTACGCATGACTTACCTCCACAATATAAACCTATATTTTAAACTGTTATACAATGTTAAAAACAAGTATCCTGAAATTTTGCTCGACGTGGAATCGTTGGACCTCAAACTTTTTTATAACATCAACAGCTTATAGTGGCCACTGCTGACCAAAGGCCTTTTCTCACATGGAGAAGGTTTGAGCATTAATCACCATGCTAACTAAATAGGGGTTGGCGATTTTAAACTTATGAGTAGAAATTACAATGTCCAGGTTGCCTCACTATGTTTTCCATCACCGTTTGTCAGTGATAATAATTTTAGCAAGTACTTATAACTCGGAAGAAAAAGGTCACTTTGGTACTTGTATTGGTAGATTTTGAACCCGCACCCTCATATGCATGAAAAGCGGGCGTCTTAGACATCCGGGCCACCTTTATAGCTGTTCATATAAAAAGTGTGTTTTTTTTTAAGGGGGGAAAATCATCGAATGGCTACTCCCGCCTGGGTGACTCTTACTGACCCAAAACCACTCCGTTCCTACTCCGACGCTTCGAGCCGGAGCCCCGGTAACCCGCGACTCCACGACTCCGAATCAGCATCAGCCCTCTTGGGCCCTATCCGTGGTGGTCTGATGGCTCTTTGAGGCACGCGCGAAACGCGACGCGCCACACGCTCGGGTCTGGTTCTGGTCTGACGGTGAGCCACCCATGCTCGCCGTCCGCAGGCCCGATATAAAAGGTGTTAGTTTTGTACTTACGTTCATGTAAGTAGTGCAGCATTCTCTAGTATTCATTACGTCTGTCAATGGGAATATCACGATCGGTATAAATGATGTAACCGCCAATGGAATACATTCAGATACCCAATAAACAGCCATCACGAGCAACGTATAACCGGTCCATTGATATTTCTGGAAATTCACATTCGTCAAATATATGAAAGCAATTTGTGGTGATATCGGAGTTACAATACAATCGTCACTATTTCTACTACTTTTCCTGCGCATTCCATAAGAGCCTATATAATGATCTCTAAATGAAAATTACAGAAAAACCCTCCTTTAGAGGACCAAAATACAGCAGTGGATCGTTATGGGTTGTCGATCTAAAAAAAAAATTACAACAGGGAATCCAATTTAATTTTATAATGGGTGGAAAACATTAAGTTATGGATATGGATATAAGAAATGGAAAACATAATACAAATGACCAAACAGTGTTTGTTTTTTTTAAGTGAATTGATTAGTTCGAGACATATTTACGTAACGTAACTTGTGTTACGTTACGAAAAAATTAAAATGACATAAAATTGTACTATATACTTACCTTTATTTTATTTATACAAAAAATACAAATTACAAATGACAATTTACATTGACAAAATACATTAAAATACATTTTTTGTCTATTTTATTAATATTAATATTGTAAATACAAATAACTAAAAATAAAATATATGCACCTTCAAATTACCTTAAAAAAATGTTAGCTTAAGGTAAGGGATCAAAAAATTTTAATCATCGCTATCGTGAGGTAGGGTGCCCAAAAGACTGGCAGCATTGCCACGATGAATGGCATTGCTTTGCCCTAGGTAGTAGCTGGCTACTACCTAGTGGATGGTTGAACGACAAGTGATCGAAAGGCCAGCCTTTCGATCACTTGCAGTTCAACCATCCTCCTTACAATAGGTACCTATTGGGCCGTGAGGCCCAATTTTTAACCCCAAACGGTTCGAAAGCATAATTACCAATCATCAATCCAATACAATTAGGTTACTTTACAATACAAAACAATAGGTACCTACATTGAAACAATTTACAAAAAATCAATAAAAATAGGTAACTCACTGTTGTAGGACCTGGGAACAGTACAAAGGTGAAAAATGCTGGCGTGAATACAATCACAACACCTCGCCAATGTGCAATCATAAAGTATTGTAATTTTTCCGTTGAAGTAAGATATGGCTCGGGTCTGAAACATGAATACTTTGTTAGCGTATAAAATATTTTACAGAAACAATCAATTGAAATATAATTATTATTTATAACTTACTTCTCTTTTGTCAACATCTTCAGTGTTTCTTTATTTACTTACTTTTATCGAATATTCGTAAATTTCAATAAAATGCAAAGAAAGAACTATTTTACTATTTCGTTCTGACGTCTTTGTGTTTAATCCATCAGAAGAATAATGAATTTTCTTATTTTGAAATTTGAAAAATGTTGCTTTACTTTCATCCAGTACTTTTTACATAAGAACTACTTAACAAAATTCTTTCAAAAAGCTGAATGTAAGAGAAAGAGACTAATAACCATAGAGTTTTATAAGTTTTACTACTACTAGTGTATCATAGCGGCGCGGACGTGCCATTATTGGAGGACCGTAGTTCTGTAGCCCCGGCAACAGGCGGATTGGCGCAGCTAGCTTCAGTTGTCGAAACGCCGGCCGCGTGCTAACACTTCACTCAGTTCCCGCTCGTACTTTGGGCGGTCCGTACTACGAATCCCGGCGTTCTATCGCGATTCACCTATAAACTTGTATAAAACTTTCGATTTTCATTCAAGTGTTCATTAGTGACAATATAAAACGAAATGTAATTTGTTAATGTGTTATATTGTTTAAATATAAGTATGTATAATCACCGTGAAAGATGACCGGAGTCATTAAATATTCATGATATCTAGTGAGTACTACGAATCTGGCAACGTAACTCGACTGTATCAACAGGTCAGTTTTACTGTAAGGAAAATATTTTAATCTTGCGAATAACTTATATATTTTCGATTACATTGAGAGCTTTAGAAAATCTTTTAGCCATTATTTTATTTTGTGTGTAACTGGAAAACCATAGGTTATGGGTTCTCCGTGCCATTAGTGTTGAAATATTGTTCTTTCACAAAATAATTGTTTACTTTTACTGACTGATCAGATTCCCGACAGTCTTGTAATTTATTCAATTTATTGTTTTAGCTATTATTTTTTAATAGCTGATTGAAGTTGATCAACATCTCGCCTGATGGTAAGCCATGATGATGCACGTCTACCTATGAGCAACCTATTAACTCGAGCCTTGTAGACACCCAGTATGTAGTTTAAACTAGTTTACTTAAAAAAAAATTCTCTATGATAAATATTTCTATATGACAATAATTGTACATGCACATGGGTAGACTTCAAGGCGGAGGGCAGATGTTTCATATTTTCTTATACTAGAATTTTGTCCTGTATCGTGGATGTGTTAAGGAATAAATTATTTCACATACTCATCACATCCAGGCCTAGCTGGGTGACCATACGGTGAACACACGTGGCGCTTCACGTTTATGAATCTGTGTAAATTTACTTCTGTTTTTGCCCTTATTGAAAAGAACTTGCAGTTGGTATTAAAATGTTTTTTATATCCAATATTCTCATCATATGTCATCCTATAAGCCAGTACAGATAGCATCATTAATGGTCAAAAATGCTATCAGTTAGCCGTAAAATGAAACCCAACGAAAAGCAAAGATAATGTTTTATATAAGATTAATATTTCAAAAAATAGAAAATGCCTCAAAAACCTAAAAAGGTACGTCACCACAAACTTATGCACTAAAGTAAATAAAAAACCGATAAAAATAAAAAATCAATAGCTTTATTTTGAACTAGCTGTTGCCATCGACTTCGTCTGGAGCCTGGGAGCATTTAATCGGAATGCAGTATCCTCTCACCTAAGTCAGCCCATACCCTGCCTGTATACCAAATTCATCAAAATCCATTCAGAACTTTGATCAAAATCCGTGGTTGACGGACAAACATCTGACCAAAGAAAAAAAAAAGAAAAATGACAATTAAATGACCTAAAATACATTATATTTTATATGTCTACTGAAAATTTTCGCTAAATAATCTATCAGTATAATAAATATTTTTTTTAAACTGGTGACAGCATAACCTAGTTATTTGGCAAAGGGACTGCTACTACTATGCAAACCAAGGGATCGGCAGAAGTGTAACGCCGACATTATAAGCCATATTTACTTGGGATCAAACAATATTTGCCTCTATAATGGATAAAAGTAAACATATTTTGATTTACTCACATCTACAACTGAGTATTTAACAAATAACATATTACTTGACACATTAAACGCCATGGGGGTCACCGGTGACCGACGTTAGCGGAGGATTTACCTTCAACAGTTTTTTATTGGCAACTAAAATCTTAAGCTGTTAAGTATCAACAATAACAACATCAATAGCCTGTAAGTGGCCACTGCTGACCAATGGCCTCTTCTCACACGGAGAAGGTTTAAGCATTAATCACCACGCTAGCTCAATGTAAGTTGGCGATTTCAAACTTATAATTACAGATTATAAGCACAGGTTTTCTCATGATGTTTTGCTTCACAGTTTGCCAGTGGTATCTAAATAATCTTAGAAAGTCGGACACGGAACATATAACTCGGAAAAGTCATAATGGTACTTGCCATTGATTGGGTTCAAACGCGCGCTCTTATACATTGAAAGCGGGTGTCTTAAGGCTTTGACTGCCGACAGAAAACTGTTAAGGGTAAATCCTCCGCTAGCGCGGCCCATACCTTGTCCCCCATGGCGTTCAAAGTGTTAAGTATAAGTTAATGTATTTTAATAATACAATACAAAATTTTTAGTTAAATCAACAGTTTCCTTCGTGGCCCGTAACATATTAAGTTATTCGTTTTTTTAGGAGGGATAAGCATCCCATGACTTCTTCCGCCTTAGATGAAGCAAGAGGGAGTGTTAGAATCTTAGTAATTAAAGATCACCCGGATCAATCCTGCTCTTCGAACTGGAGCACTGGCAACCCATTAAGTCTTCCGCGGCTCCGTATTGAGCGTCAGCCCTACTGGGCCCCATCCCTGGTGGCCATCCTATTACCTACCTAAGTATAAAAAAATTATGAAGGTCCTTATTTGGATTTGAGTATTATAGGGAAGGGGTAGTGAAGTGGTGTCACCATATGGCTTTTTTTTCAGGGGAAAATCCTCGAATAATTTCTCCCGCCGTTCCTAATCCTGCCCTTCGAGCCGGAGCCCCGGTATACCGGTAAACCGTTAAGTTCTCCGCGGCTAAGTATCAGCATCAGCCCCATTGGGCTGATACAAATTAAATATTATAAATTCTCTGTGGCAAGGGAAATATAAACCGTCAATTTACCGCTAAAAGCTGTGTAACTTCACAATTGACAAATGGATTACTGATAACGATAACAAAGCCAGCTCTTCTAGTATCAGATGACACATATCAGCCAGTGGCGTGCACAGGTTTTCTAGACAGGGTAGGCAATTAAATATCGTATGATTAAACCCCTCCCCCCCGGTCATACAATGACAATCATACTCACACAAGACAGGTACCTACATGTACAGAATACATTTTGAAAAGTGCGTTCAAGAATATTGTGGTTTATTCTGTCGCCAAATTACATACACTGACATCTCGCGTATTTTTTGTGAACTACTTCATCAGCTATGGAATAAGCCAACAAAACTTACAAATAATTGAACATCTATTAATTATACTAATAATGAAGCATAAATTTGATGAACCAAATTCAATTATCGAATTGCTAGATAATCTATTCAAAATCATAATAATATTATATTATATTATATTACGAATTTAAGAACGTAGGTACCTACCAACAAACAAAACAATAACAAGCGCGGCCGGCTGTGGCCGAGCCGAGTATTTATAAGCGGTACATTTGTTATTACATTACATAATTATTAATAATAAATTAATATGTAAATCAGTACAACCCGAAGTCTAAGTTGATATTTTTAAGAATTATCAAACAAGAAAATCAATAAAAGATCCATTAAAGTACATAATATTTACATTACCTACCTTTGACTTGGGTCAATTCTCGTAACTTGAGTACTGCCTATGGTCATTACCTGAATCTAGTCGTTGTAGGACACATTTTTGCGAAAACTTACTGTTTTTAACTTTCAACAAACACAAAAAATTATCTATTATCAACACAAACTTCACAATCGAATAATATAGGTACTTGTACTAGACACTGATAAACAAATACACTATTTGAAAAACCTACACATACATTTAACTACTTCTACACATATTTATGCAACTTTATGTTTAAAACTAATTCCTTATATTTAAACGAAAACATAAACAAAGCGATCGCACATCACATGAAAACAATATGGCCGAAAACATTGGAATGAATGAACCCATCGTAGTCAATTGAGTGTTTATTATAAAAAAATTATAGCTATAACATTAAGGCAACCCAGTGTTTAATTATAAAAAAACAAAACGTTAATTTACATAAGTCAAATGGAGTTCCGTCATTGTCTTATTATTATTTTCCAATAAGAAACATTCGTTGATAACAATTTGAAACTTTGAGTTATCAAAACGTCAAGTTGCCGCTACTCAAAAGTTATTCCTTTTTACTTTTAAAATAATAAAGTCAACTCCTCGTTTAAAGTTTCTGTAAACCGACAACGCGTAAAAATGTTAAGATTTAATTAAAATACCTGAAACATATTTTTTTAGTATGCATAATTATAAAAAGACATTCGCATTATATCGAACGTGTTCAGAAGTTTTAACAAAAAATTCAATAGATGGCGCAGATTCATAAATTTCAAAGGCCGGCAACAATGACTTTTTTGCGTTTATGAATGGTTATTCTCTGCTGTGACCATAGTCACGTGACCTTCACGCATGCGCGTTGCATACTTTTTGTGACGTCACAACCAACAACCAAGATTTAAGGAATAGTAGCGCATGCGTGGTGCGTGCGGGGCGCATTCATTGCTTTACAAAGGCGTGCGGTCCGTGTATAGTATATGTGAATGTATATTTATGTTAGCTGTTTTTTTACAAACTTTTATTTTATTATTGAATCTTAATAAACGCGTTTGTACATTTTATGTCAAGCAAAGCCTTTTTGCCTATATGGACTGCACGCCACTGATATCAGCTGGTCCTATTGATTATATTACCTGATTTCACCGTATCACTTACTGTTTTGACACACAAGCGACTAGCACTAAGGGCGAACGTTAATGTTGCGACTGAAAAAGTGCCTTGGGAATCGATGGGACTTGTTAGGCAGTTCCAGCAACAAGATAGAATGTTTATACAATTACTATCTCGCCAAGGGGGCCACGATAGCAGAAGATTTGCCATTGACAGTTTTCAGTCGGCAGTCAAAGCTTTAATATACAAACTCTACCATGAGTGAGTTTATTGTTATTTTTTATTTAATAAAGCTACATAATATTATATATACCATTCTATAACTATCATGTTGTGTAGCTGTGTTTCTAGTGGTACAGGTTTATCAAATGGAGAGCTCATAAAATCTATTCTTCTGAGTAAAAGACCTATTTTATGATGGGAGGGAACCTTCAAAAGGCACCTAGCTTTTTGGGAAAAAAGACTAGGGATTTTAGGATTCGTACTTTAGGGAACAGAGAGTAAAGTTCCCTAAGATCAGAAAAGGAGGATCCTCCGACCAGGCGAGGTGATCGTGCCTGGCGGGCTTTCTGCCCAACAGTTGTTCGTTGGGATTTTGTATCCGTGTTAAATCGAATGTAAACTTCGCATTTGTGCGATGTAGGATTTTATGACGTCATCCGTTGACTTGTACCATGTGTCGCTACAGTACCTCACTAAAACCACCCCGGTGGCCACACTCAGCACCGGGTCCTCCGAAGAGACCAGGG